ATGCAATAATTCTCAATGGCTTCGCTCCAAAAATGAAGCGGGACATTGATGTCATTGATTTGCTTGCCTGGGTGTCCTGATTTCCATGTGTGTTACAAATGTGTTGGTTGGTCTTATGTGTTTGGTGGTTTCCTGCCCCCCCCCGCGCCCAGCTGCGACATCTTCCTGAGGGGGGAGGCGGCGCTGGGAGGAGGGGTCGCCGAAAACCAACAAAAGCATGAAAATCAACCAACATACAACGAACAAAATGAAAACCAACATCACATAACAACGGAATCAGCAAATTCGACGATCCGGCAAGCTTTTGACAGAAAAGCAAAACAAGAAGCCTAAGGTTGTTCAATGCTCCCCTTCCGAACACCAGTCGGGGCCCTGATGTCGTCGATGTTGCTTGTCTCGAGGCTATGATGTTCCTATGCTTCCTTGTGTTGTCGATGGTTTACCAGTTTCTGTTAGTTTCTGGCCTCCCACGCTCAGCTGGGGCTTCTCCCTGCGGGGGTGGGGCGTCAGAAACGACATCAAATTCAAAGCAGCCACAAAAAGAATCAATCGACCCTGACGGCGCGTGGACCCCGTCGGCGTGCGCTCAGTCGACGCATCCGTTGTCCTCTTTCCCTGCATCTCCGTCGTCCCCTTCCCTGCACCCTCCTCTTCAAGCCTCCCAGCGAGAGAAAACCGTAGCAACGTCGCACTTAAGTCGAAAGGAAGCCGCTTCCCTTTGATCCCTCCCCCGCCGATCGGGGGGGGGCCGGAGGGTCCCGGGGGGGGGCCGGGGGGTTCCCGGGGGGAGGGGTCAGATCCGCATCCGCCCCTGGGGGGCCCGGAGCCCAAAAAAGCGCCAAGACGCGCCAAGAGGGCCCCAAGCAGGCCCAAGAAGAGGACCATGAACCGACATTTCGAGCTTCCCGCCCCAAGAAGCCCCCAGAAGGCCCCAAGAGCCCTTCAAGGGGCCCGAAGAGGCCCCAAAGAGACCCCCAAGAGGCCCAACAGAGGCCCCAACAAGCCCGAAAACATCCAAGAGGCCTTTCAACCACAACCCCAGCACGGTGGCGGGAAGGGCCGCAGGCCACAAGGCTCCCTGTCTGTCTCTGCTACGACTCCCTGGGCCCACATAGGGAACATCTCCTTCGCCTTCTCCTGTTCCCTTCCACCTTACTCCCCCTCCTCCCCCTCCTCGTATTTGTCGTCGTCGTCTTCAGGGTCGGCGGCACAGGCCGTAAGGCCTTAGCAATCTACTTGAAATCCGCAACAAAAGAAATCAAAGCGTAGACCACCACTTAAGGAAACAATGTGTAACCCACGAGCCCCCCAAAGAAGACATCAACGACATCAATGCCCCGACTGGTTCTTGAAAGAAACCCCAACAAAACGTAATAACTATCAATGCTTCCGTTCCGAAAACCGAGCGTGGCCTTGTTGTTGTTGGTGTTCTTTTGTCTGGGTGTTATGATGGTTATGCTTCCCCGTGTGGCCTGGGTTCGCTCGGCAAAAAAAGGCTCAGATTGTCATGGTGTTCCTTATGTTTTGGTTGGTGTTCCTGTGTTTGCTGGTTGTCTGCCTCCATTCTCCCGGTTCAGCTGGGGCGTCTCCCTGGAAAAGGGGAGGGGCTCGAGGCGGCGCTGGGGGGACTGGGCGCCGAACACCAGCAAAAGCAAAAACACCAACCAACACATAACGAAAAGCATGATATCCAAAGTCCCCAAGCAAAACAATCAACGAAATCCAGGCCCCGACGATGTGGTAATATGAAGAATACAAAAACCGAGCAACCCACACACACAAAACGCTGTTTTTTTTGTTGAAAATGATCATGTTGGGCACCAGGGGGCGACCATACATGTGTATGCATACATGCATGCCCACATACATGCATGCATGCATACATACATGCATGAATACGTTCACACATGCAGGCATATATCCGTATACACATACATACATGCATACATACAATCATACATACATGCATACATACATGTTTGTTATATAGCAAAGTTTGCACCACATGTGCTGCAAAATTTGGTTTGTACACGATTGTACATGTTGCTCCACATATATCGCACTAGATGGATTGCATTGCACAGGTAGCACCACACAGGTTGCACACCACAGGAGGCTGGAAACATTTTGCGTGGGGTTCACTCTGGCTAACATTCTACTATGTAAGAAGACCGCAACCGCAGCACCGAGATCGTCGATCAGGGACACCCCTGGGCGCTCTTGGATTTTCCCTCGCACTTTTGTGTGACCCCATCCAAAAGCAGAGGCGCCACACAATGGGCAACAAGGACCCCGAGCCGACCCCCCCAGCAGGGTCCAAGAGGCACCAACGGCCGAGGAGCACGCCCAGATGCCCACGATGGTCTAAAGACGGCCCAAACGGCCCGCATGACGCCCCCAAAGGGCTCCAAAAGACCCCCCCCGCCCAGAGGGACCCAACTTGTCACAAAGGTCTGCCAGTATGGTTAGCGCTCTCGCCTCTTCGGGCTGCCGACGCTTCCAAGACGGCCCCATCCCCAACCTTGCCCCAAGACGGCCCAAGAGGGCCCCAAGGCGGACAGCAGCTAGAAGGCCCAAGGGGGTCCCAAGGCGGCCCAAGAGGCCCCCAAAGACGGCCACGAGAGTCAAGAGCACCCTAGGAGTGAGGAGCCGAGTCTTCCGCCCAAAGACGACCCCCGAGGCCGCCAGCAGGCTCACAAGAGGCCCCCAACAGAAACCCCAAGAGGCCACCAAGAGTCTTCAGAGGCTGTTCTGGTAACGGTAGTTGGGTACGGGCTGCGCCCACGTCGAAGAGCTGGAGCCTTTTACCGGACTCGCCCTTGCCGTTTTGGCGGGTGCGTACGCGGCCGTGCTGGAGGATCAAGACATCCTTGATATGACCGAAGGTTGTCACAGTTTTTTTTGGATGTTAACAGCATCAGGTTCTCCGAAGGCGAGAGGCCTGCATGGTCCAAGAGAAGGAATCCAAGCAGATCGTGGCTCACCAAGATCTCGCGACCTAATTTGGAGACAAGTGTCCACCAGCGCTTCCTCCGGGAAATGTACGAGACCATAGAGTCACCGTGCTGTCGAGACAATGGTCCATGTGGTCTCTGTCCCACCTGGAACAAGATCTTCGCGCCCTGCGCCTCTATGGGGAAGCGTGAAGTACGAATCGCCAACACCAGCTGATCGATCCCAGTCGGAATCTGAAGCACGTCCTTACCGATATCCATGGCAATATCGAACGCGTCGCCTCTGAGGCCTTCTACAACCTCGTTGACAGCTAAGGTAAACACGTGTTGCTGCGTATCACCCGTCTCTTGACCCACTGAGGCCCAGACGACACGCATGCGCATCTATGTGCGGAATTCCCACTCGTGGAAGTTGTTCACCGAGCCGTCGTAGATGGAGGAGCCACTCTTCGTCTCGGACCGCATCAGCGCGTCGGCGCTCGGCCGATAGCGAGAAGAAGAAAGCGTCATGGCGCAAGGTTCAGTCCCCTAGCGAGGGAAACTGCCAGCACGGAAACTAAAGAGAGGTCGTGCGACACTCTCTGATGAGACGCGCCCGCAGTGGTACGATACGGGGATCGTGTGGTAGCTCCACTACCAGTGTGAGTATGATGCGTTCTAGCGCAATGGCAAAAAGGGCCCCGTAGAGGTCAAACGGCGGCGAGTGGCGGCGATAGGTGCATATACACACGTCACGCATGCACTATCCCACAGAGAGCGAGGGATATATAGAGTGAGACAGGGAGAGACACAGAGAGTGGGGGGGGAAAGAGAGGAGCAAGGCGAGAGGAGGAGGATGAGAAGGACGGACGGGATCACGGCGCTCTATTCAAAACAAGAACCCAACCAAGGAGGGTTATGAACTACCTACATACACATTGACGTACATGCATGCGTACATACATGAGTACAAGCATACATGCATACATATATGCATACCTGCATACATACAGTCATGCAGGCCTACCTGCATGCATGTGTGCATGCATGTATGCCTGCATACATGCATGCATGCATGCAAACGTGCGTACAGTCATGCATACACGCACACCTGCGTACACCTATACACAAGCATGCCTAGCACGTAACGTACAGGCATGCGTACACACATATAGGTGTACAAACATGCGTACAAACAGATGTACGTGCGTACACCCATACATGCATACATGCATACATACCTGCATTACATACATACATGCATATATGCATGCATGCATACATGAATACCTGCATACGTACACCAATGCATACAACGGTGTATACGTACCGGCATTCATAAATCCATATATATATACAAACATACCCACATATATACATACAGACGTACATGCGTACAGACATACAGACAGGCATGCACGATACACAGATGCATATATGCATACCTACATACCTAACATGACGTATACATATACATGCATACCTGTATGCACGCATGCATGAATGCATACATACAGATGTACACGTATGCGAACACAAAGATACATGCATGCATACGTGCATACATGCACACATACAGATATACGTACGTATGTACGTACGTATCTATTATACATGAGTACATGCATACAAAAAGTTGCACGAACTGGCATCGATACATACAAACATACATGCAAACAACTATACATATAAAGGCCCTGCAGCTCTTGAAAGCTGGGTACGTCAGGATCTGGCAGCAGTGCCTATCAAGGCCCAGGTGCAGTAAGAGCAACCTGCGAACTAGTACCAACGATGTCTTGGAATGGGTTTCATACTCGCAAATGCCTGCGTACGCAAGTATACTTTACGTTCGGCGACTGACTTCCGTGCATGGTCTGCGTGTGAAAAGAAAGGGGGCAGAGAGGGAGAAAGAGAGAGAGAGAGAGAGAAAACAGAAAAAGTAGGTACAGGAAGGGAAACACATGAGATGGCGAGGATAATGGAGGGAGAGAGGAAAAGGCCAACATAATAAACCGGGTTGGGGAGGGAGGGGAAGGCATGACCCGACAAGCTCGGCTTCAGTAGAACTGTGTCTTCCTGGTCCCGATGATGCACCACCCACCAGGTGCTCCTGCAGGAAGCCCCGCACTGTGCAGAACACCATCTCCTCCTCTCTGGGAGACGTTAGACTCGGGTACGGGAGACTCGGGTTGGCCTGACGGGGGCCATCATAAAAATGACGGAGAGAGCGTGGTCCACCGCCGCTTTACTGTGGAAAATTCCCCCCCCTCTTCCTGCGCGGAGACCCCCCCTCCGAACCCCCTACCCACCCCTGCTGGACCCCCCCCCCCTTCCCCCTTCCCCCCAGCAAAACCCCCTCCCTCCCCTGACCCCCCCCCCCCCCCTCCGGAAAACCCGGGGGGGTCACTACTGGTTCGAACCCCCCCCCTCCGAAATCCGGGGGGTCACTACCGGTTGGAACCCCTCCCCCCCCCCCCCAGAAAACCAGAGGGGGTCGCCGGTTCGAACCCCCCCCCTCCGGAAAACAAGGGGGGGTCACTACTGGTTCGACCCGCCCCTCCCCCCTCGAAAAACGGGTGGGGTCACTACCGCTTCGAACCCCCCCCTCCCTCTCGAAAACCAGGGGGGGTCACTACCGGTTAGAACCCCCCCCCTCGAAAAACGGTGGGGGGTCACTACCGGTTAGAACCCCTCCCCCCCCCAACGCTCACCGCCAGCAAACAACTCTGGGTCCCAACCACCGTCCGCACCACATCCCCCACTGCTGTCCCCAGCACCACTGTCCCCAACACCACTGTCCCCACTGTTCCCAACACCGTCACCACTGTCCTCACCAGTGCCCCCACCACTATCGCACTGTCCCCACTGTCCCCACCACTGTTCCCACCACGGTTCCACTCTCCCCACTTTCTCCACGGCCCCAACCACTGTCCCACTGTACCAACTGTCCCACTATCCAAGTGTCCCCGCCGCTGTCCCCCTGAGCTGTCCCACTGTTCCCACCACTGCCACTGTCCCCACTGTCCCCACCACTGTCCCTTCTGCACCTCTGTCCCATTATCCCACCGCCGTCCTCGCCACCGCCCTCACCACTGTCGCCACCACCACTGTACCCTCCACTGTCCCACTGTTTCCACCACATTCCCACTGTCCCCACACCACTGTCCCCACCACCACCGTCCCCACCACTGTCCCACTGTCCCCACTGTTCCCACCATTGTCCCCGCTGTCCCCACCAGTGCCCCCACCAGTGTCTCACTGTCCCCACTCTCCCCACCATTGTCCCACCACGGTCCCACTCTCCCCACTTTCCCCACGGTCCCCACCACTGTCCCACTGTCCCCACTGTCCCCACCACTGTCCCACTGTCCCCGCCGCTGTCCCACTGTGCTGTCCCACCGTCCCCACTGTCCCCATCACTGTCCCACTGTCCCCACTGTCCCCACCACTTTCCCCACTGTACTACTGTCCCACCACTGTCCTCACCACCGCCTTCACCACTGTCCCCACCACTACCGTCCCCACCACTGTCCCACTGTCCCCACCACTGTCCCGCTGTCCCCTCACCACTGTCCCCACCACCACCGTCCCCACCACTCCACCACTGTCCGCACCACTGTCCCACTGTCCCCGCACCACTGTCCCCACCACCACCGTTTCCACTACTGTCCCAACATCCCCACCATTCTCCAACTGTCCCGAGGAGCGGGCATCGTTTGCCGGCGGCGAAAGGGGCGGCAAAAGCGGGTGGAGGGGAAAGGTTCGAACCAGTAGTGACCCCCCCCAGTTTTCGAAGGAGGGGGGTCGAACCGGTAGTGAAGTGACCCCCCCGGGTTTTCGAGGGGGGAGGGGGGGGGGTTCGAACCGGTAGTGACCACCCCCCCCTTTTCATGATGAACTGGCGGGGGGGGAGGGGTTCGAACCGGTAGTGATCCCCCCCCTTTCATGATGGACTGGGGGGGGGGAGGGGTTCGAACCGGTATGGACCCGCCCCCCCCCCGGTTTTCGGGCGGGGGTTAGGAACCCGTGACCCCCCCCCAGCATTCCGCCAGCAGCGGTAGAACACGCTCTTTCAAATGACGCGACCCCATGTGAAAATTGGCACGGGCTCCCGCTGCAGACATCCCACGAAAACAGGACCGCCAAAATCCAGGACACGCTCGTCAAAAAACTTCGGCACACCCGAGCTCCGGCGGCTTATCGGTAGCGGCCAAGAGGGGGGCGTCCAAGAGGGGGGTGTGCAAATCATGACCGGCGGCATGTGCGCGGCCCAGCGGGGGGGCCAGGGACGTAATGAAATGAAAAGAGGCGCCATGAAATCTGGAGAAATATCATGGCCCACGCCATGATATCCACTCCCCCCTAGTCATCACCCCCCTCTTTGCCGCCCCCGAGCTTAATCGAGTCTTACGTTTCCCCGATCCTCCAGCGCTGGCGCTGCCCGCGCGCTCTGGGGGCCTGCCGGAACGAGCACGGCATCCGCGCGCTCGTAGGCGGGCCAGCGCCGCCGCAGACGCCGCAGCTCGTCGGGCGGCTGCCCTTCGCCTTCGCGTGCCGAGGCCACCTGGCACGCACCCGTGGCTCGGAGCTTCCGCTCCGCGTGGCCGCCGCGAGACGCAGCGGCCGCCTTGCCCAACGACGCCTTCAGGCTTCGGCGCCCGCAGGCCACGCCGCCAGCGGCCGCGGCGACCGCAACACATGACGAAATGTGCTGCTGAGGACGGCTCGCGTGCAGCGACGGGCGCGACTCGTGCAGGAACGCGCGCGGAGGAGCCGAGGGAGCTAGCATCGCAGACTCGGAAATAGTCGCATCGAAGCTCGGGGCTCGGGAGAACCACGAGGAGGGCTCACTTCAGATCAGCCTGAACCAAAACTGCTACTTGCGGGCTCCAAGCTGATGGCGGAGAACGTGCCGTACTTGCGCAACGGAATCGGGGCGGAGGACGGCGAATGTTTTAGCGTGCCAGATCTTCCAGAACGATCCGTTCTCCGTTCCCACGGAACTGGACGAGGCAGGCTCACGAGTGGTGAGCGTCCACAATATTGCCCGGTATTGCTGAACGATGGCCCCAGATGAACCTAGGCTGCCTGCAAGATGGCGCAAGATGGAAGCATGCCTTCAAAAGCCCCAGAAAAAACTCAGGAAACCCTGGCGAAGGACCAATCATATGCAGCTGTGGGTAACGCAATTGTGAGACTCATCTTCGGTGGTGTGCCGACATGGGCGGAGAGCCGCATGTGGACTCTCCCAGCGGGGCCTGCGGTGGAGCTCCCGCAAGGGCCAAAAAACGATTGAGGGGTGCGCCGAAATGGGCGGAGAGCCACATGTGGCCCCTCCCAGCGGGGCATTCGGTGGAGAGCTCCCTGTGAAGCCACGAAGCGTGTGATAGGTGCGCCGAAATGAGCGGGGAGCATGTGAACGCTCTCACATGGCCCCTCGGTGGAGCACCCTCTGTGGCCACGAAACGTGTGATGGATGCGCCGAAATTGGCGGGGAGCCACATGTGGACCCTCCCACCGGGGCCTTCGTTGGAGCTCCCGATAAGGCCACGAAGCGTTCGAGGGGTGTAACGAAATCGACGGGGAGCCGCATGTGGACCCTCCCACTGGAGCCGCGCTTGAGGTGTGTGCCGAAATGGGCAGGGAGCCACATGGGGACGCCCCCGATGGGGCCGCCAAGCGTGTGAGGGGTGTGCCGAAACAAAGACATGCGGAGGGTAGAGGCGGGGACGGGAGGAGGGGGGAGGGCAGCGGGAGGAAAAGAAGGAGACGCGGGGCAGCGGCTCTTCAACACGAGGACCCAACACCACGGGATGACTGGGAACTGTGAAGGTGGCCTGCGGACCTCCCACGAGCGCCGCAGAACGGTAAGCCAAACGCTGAAAACAGGTCTCCGTCAGCGTCGCCTCCTCGCCGTCCCAGTTCCCGATGGACTCCTGAGCCCCCTGCATGGCCCAGGCCAGAGGGGGGCTCCTACGTGGACCCCCCCTCTGGCCTCACAGGAAGAAAAAAACTGCATGACCATAAACTGTTGGCGCTCTGCGCGGATTTCTTGGATCTGCGCCGGACCCCCCTCCCCGGAACGCGGAACGCGCCACGGGCGGCGCCGAAAGCGCCGCCGGGGGGGGGGGACCAGCGCAGATCCAAGAAATCCGCGCGGAGCGCCAAGATTTTCTCTTTCTGGCGCTGTTTCTTCTTCGGGAGCCCCCTGCATGGCCCAAGCCAGAGGGGGGATCCTACGTGGATTCCCCCTCTGGCCTCACATATGGCCCCCAAGGGTGAGGGGCAACGATAGGGAGAGACTGGCATAGGGGGGTATGCATCGATCTGGAATCGGCGATACATCGCCGATAGACCGGCGACAAGTCCCCGATAGCGAAAGCGTACCTTCCTGGGCTGGTTGGGGGCCATCGGACCCTCATTGGCTATGGGCGATTGAGGGTTGATGCATCCCCCCTATGCCAATCCCCCCCATCGTTGCCCCATGCGTATGCCTATCCCCCCCTATCGTTGGTGCCTCGGCAACTCCCAGACGCTAATCGACGCTAGTCGACGCTAAAGACGGAGTTTGGATGGTATACCAGGCTCCCATGACTTGCAGCCGAAGGCCCAAGCCAAAGGGGGGCTCCCACGCAGAACCCCCCAATTGGCGATTGAGGGTTGATGCATCCCCCCCTATGCGGAGGCCTCCTAGATGGGGTCCGAGTAGAGTAGATGAGGTCGGAGGATCGCACCACATTGCCGATACATCGGCGATGCATCGTCGATGCAACGGCGATGCATCGGCGATGCAACGGCAATGCATCGTCGGACGTCGGCGATGCATCGGCAACGTCGACGTGAAGCAAATCGGGCTCCGCATCGAGCCGCATCGCGGATGCATCGGCGATGCGGCGCGATCCTCCGACCCCATCTACTCCGACCCCATCTAAAAAGCGTAGACTATGCCTAACCCCCCTTATCGTGGCCCCCGAAAAGGTGCGCCGCCGGGAAGAACACATCCGCACAGCTGCATGGCTGCGGGAGCCCTGCCCCTCTCCATCCAAGGGGGACGCAGCGGGTGTGGATAGGTTGCCGCCCCCACACGGGCAAGCTTTGCATCCGGATGCACCGCTCCTCATGTTACCCCTCTGCGCCGCCAGAGTATGATGGGACGCACTCACAAGCGGGTCTCACGCGAGATGATGTAGCGACCTTACGCGTCGGCTCGGGCGGGCACCCAGCGCGGCAGGCTACACATGGGACGAGGGCGCTTCCGCGCGACCTTACGCGGGCAGCTTACACGCCCATGTCAGCGAAGACGACCCGTCTTTTGCCTCGCTCGTATGTCCTCCTTGGAGGCGCGCGTCGGACACCGAAAACGAAATATACCCATCCAGAGCCACCGCTCCTCGCGTTACCCTAGGGCTCCCAACTTCGCGCTTCGCGCTCCGCGAAGCGCGAAGCGCGAATAACTTCGCGCCCTCGCGCCGCCCCCCCAAAGGGAGAAAAGGAGGACGAGGAGGGGGAGAAGGAACGAGGACCGCGAAGCGCGAAGCGCGAATAACTTCGCGCCCTCGTGGGAGCCCTTGGTTACCAGGGGCGACGGTGGGGGCGAATAGAGCAATCCATGTATCTAGGGACGCCGATAGTCCATGCCTTCGGCGAGACTCCCGGGCGGGGGAGCAGTGGGTGTGGATATGCTGCTGCCCTCACGGGCAAACTTTACATCTATGTCCACCGCTCCTCATGTTGCGGTAGGGTCGCGCGGCGTTGGCGCGCGAAGGCTTTGGACACCGCGTCGATCGTTCAACCTTGAGACTCGATCGCGGCCCCGATCGTTCAAGGGTGAATTCCGTCGGGTCCAGTGGCGTCACCGTGTCCATTGGTGTTATCTGGGCGACGATGGGGGCAAATAACCCAGGGAAGAGCAATCCATGTATACAGGGACGCCGATGGTCCATGCCTTCGGCGAGGCTCCCGGGCGGATACGTGTAATGCTCGCCCCTGGGCTATTCGCCCCCAGCGTCGCCTCCGATGTTACCCCTCCTACCAGCCATCACGGGCAAACTTATATCTAGATCCACCGCTCCTCACGTTACCCTTCTGCGCGGCCAGAACATGACCATATCCAACGCTGCTGGGTCGTGTTCCGAGGACTCGTGGAGCGGTCGATCTGGATATCTGCCCGCCCACGCGGGCGGGCAGACATCCATATCCACCGCTCGTCGAGATCTCAGGGCACGACTCCGAAGCGGTGAATGTGGCCATACTCTGGCGATGGGCCCTCCTCCCACCAGCCCTCACCGTGGGCCTCCCATGGACCCCTGGGCAGCGACCCCTTCGCTTGCCCGTGGGGGTCAGACTGTTTTGGGGGCCAGTGTCAGTGAAGGGCAAACTAATGAAACACAAGATTCTGTGAACTCTGAGCAAGGTTGGGCCACAACGACGCATTTCCACAAAGATCGCCTAGGGAAAACAACAGAAAAAGCTGGGATTGAGAGACCTGCAAATGCGGCACCGAACAAGGAGCATCCAAGGAATTGAGCTTACCTTTCCTGATCCCCTGGAGGCTGACCCCATGAGCAGGCGAAGGAGTCGACGGCAACTACGACGACAAAGAAGACGACGCGCCGCCAGACACACGGGGCAGCCTCGGAGATCCAAGCCAGGAGGGCCGCATCCTCCTTTTCCTCCCGCGCCTCAATCGGGTTGCGGCGGGAGGCTGCCGAGGAAGGTGAAAGGAGGAGGAAGGGAGAGGGAGGGAGGCGGGGGAGGAGGAGGGAGGAGGGAGGGCGAGGGAGGAGGGAGCAGGGGGAAGAGGATGGAGGAAGAGGAGGCTGTGGGAGCTGCGGGGGGAGGAGGGGAAGACAATTCACCACGAACAGGCGGCCCGTGAGATCAGAGTGGCAACGGCAGGGGGTGAGAATGGGCAGGAGCACGGGGAGGACGAAGAGGGTGGAGAAAGGATAATTACGAAGAGGAGCGGCAGGAGAAAGAGGGGGGAGGGACGAGCAGGAACAGAAGGATCAGGGATGGAGTTAAGGCCTTTGTTTCTAGTTTCGGACCCGCTTCTGCGATCCCTACACGCTACAACTGATGCAAGCTACGATGCGCGGGGAACAGGGGGGGAAAGAGAGAGAGAGAGAGAGGGTGGGAAGGGGGGGAGGGGACAACGTGCACGGCTCTTCGCGCATCCACCAAGGGGGCCGATCCAAGTGTTGCTACTGAATGCTTCTGCGACGAGCTAGGAACATCGGACACTTCGACAGGGCCCACTCGAATGACGAAGCCTCAGCATGAAATTGTACAGGCTCAGGGGAGAGGCCAGCAATCGCTAGACAATGAGTTGGTGTTTCCGCCGGGGGCGCCGAAGCGCCCAGCCCAAACCCGCCGCCACTGAAGCGACGAAAGGTGTCGCCAGCCATTCAGGGCGTATTCTCGAAGTGGCCACCTCTTCGCTGTACTGACACCCTCAACCCTATGCGTGCGCCGCACTCCCCCGCGTAAGTCCGGGAGTACTGGTGTCTTTAGCAGGCAACGCGCGCCCCCGGCTGCGACCGTTCAGATTGCCACGAGTTGCCGCGTGCAGTTTTTCCGCCTCCTCCTCCCTCCTCATCCTCTGCCTCCTCGTCCTCCTCCTCCTCGCCTTCCCCCTCCTGCCCCTCGCGTTTCTCGTCATCGCCCTCGTGGCTCTCACACTCGCCTCGCGACGTCTCCGACCACGCGGCCAACAACCGGGCGAAATGTTGGTTAAAAATGGGCTGGCTAAAATGGAGCAACAAGTATGCCAAAAGTGGGCTAAAGGTGGTCTCGAAGTGGGCTAAACCAGGGCTACACATATGCTAAAATGCTCCGGCGAATCTCCGCCGCATCCTCGCATGCTCCGGCGAAGCTCCGCCGCATCCGCGCCCTGCGAATTCATAAACCCGGTCGACGTTTTCCTAATTATGTCGGGTCGCTCGAAAGATTCTAACCCATGCTTTTCGGTTTATTGTGTAATCTCGCCACCACGGCTGTATTCCCGTTCGTCGTTTTTGCATTCCCGGCGAGCCTCCGGGGCGTGCATCTGAAAGACCGGGCACGCGCAGGCGAATTAAAAGTGGACTACAAATGGACTAAAACAGATATAAAAGTGATTTAAAAGTGGGCTCCAAAGTTAGCCAAAAGTGGGCGTAAAAGTGGGCTGGAAGCGGGCCACAAATGAGCCAGAAGTGGGCTAAAAAGCGGGCTGAAAGTGGACTCGAGTTCGGCTACAACTAGGCTTACAAAAGCGGGACGCAGCTCAGCAGCGGGAGAAGCAGCGAAATCATCAGGCAGACAAGACAGGAGGGAAGAGGGACATGCGGGAGGAGGAGCTGGAGGAGCGAGGGGCTGACCAACACCCGCTGAAAAGTAGCATGGCGCACGTGGGCACCTGCCCCCGCGCCCCATACGCGCACGCAGGACAACCGCGCGGGCACCGACGATGCACCAGGGCGGTGCGCCCTCGCAACGAGAACAAGTTTGAAGGGGCCCCAGGACACACAAATAAATACACACAAATAAAAAGATTCCCCATATTTTCCCATATTTTCAGGGTTTCTGTCTTCCCCCCCACTTCCCATATTTTCCAATATTTTCGAAGGAATCGAGGATTAATTGTGTCTGTGTGTTTCTTTTCCTCCTGAAAGTTTGCTTTCATCACATGGGCCACAAGAGGGCGAAAGCAGAAACCTGGGACGAGAATACGATCTCGGCAGACGGAGATACCTAAACTGCGCCGGGCCTCAAACCCGAGCCCCTACACATGAAATGCCGAGCTTGCTCCGCGCAAGAAAAAGCCGGCCAAGAGCAAGCATTACGTCTGCGATCCGTCTGGATATCGGAGGTACGCTGCGCAACCGAAATCGCATCACGTCTTCCCGCTTCGATGCCAACAAAGCCATCCGTCCATGCAGATTCGAACCTCTGCCATGCGGTGCCCGCACGAGCAGCGCACGGTCCAACGATGACCAATCCTCTCCTGAATCTATCGCCGCGTCGGCCAGGTGTTCTGCCGGTGCGCTGTACTTCCGTTGGCTCCAAACGACCACGGGGTCAAACATCACGTTTACGACTGCCCGCCCACATCGAGCAACTGCTGAACGATGCGGCGGAAAATAACAAGATGATGCGCTTGCAATACGGAAAGACTGTTGCACACGTCCGACACACCATTGCAATCCACCTGGATCCATGCACGTCGCTGCACGGGCACTCCGAAAAGCGGACCTGGAGCCTGACAACCAGATGTACGATAGTTACTGATGTGGAGCCACTGTTGAAATGTGGTCTTATCCAAACAGCACCAGGTTAATGCACACTTGGGATCGCGAAGCGCTGGAACAGCAAAACAACCGCATACCCGACGCCGCGCCCAGCGCTCAACCTGCCCGCCGCCCCAGAGAAAAAAGTCAGACCCGATGCCCGAAGCCCCATCCCACAACTACACGATGCCTCACGCGCAGCGACCCCCCCCACCCCTGCGACACCACGCCCACCGCAAGACTCGACGCCTCAGAAGATACACTGAGGCCCAGTCATCCACACGACCTACAGTTGTCGAGGTTCCAGTCGCAAGGGCATCGACGCCAATAACATCACTCGCTTTAATACTCTCTACGGGGCAGCAAACAAATAGCTGTAGCTGCTTGAACGACGTCGACACAAAATAAAAGTTCAAACGTACTGCCTGGCACGGTGATTTCGATTGAAGACGATCATCCCCGCTGGCGTGGCCGGCATGATCTGAAACTGCGGCGGGAGTTCGCGAGAGTCATGATCCGGTGCAGACGACGGAGGGCAGCGACAAGTTTGCTACTTCACTTGACATCACCCAGCAGGTGACCTGATGGAACAAGGGAGGCCGAACAGCGATGTTCACTCGAACTTGACGCATGGAGGGGTGGCCTCCACAGCAATCACTGTAAGCTTGGATTGGATTTCTCGTGGATGCGCTTCAAACGATCCAGACGACTTGGGGCCAGCGCGGCCAGGGCCGCCGAGGCGGATTACAGACCGAGGCCAGCGCAGGGCTTACATGCGACGTCGCTTAGCAATGAGGAGGAGCCACTGCACTCGAGAGCGAGACGACAGCGATCCGAATTCGGAAACTCTTGCACAGTCAGCGGAGGCTCGCCCTGACAGCCTCATGGCGAGGGCATTGGACACACCTCCACAACTGCAGACAGCACTGGCAGACCAAGACGCCTCGCTACCTCAATCTCCTGGGGGCTGGCTCGGGAGTGAATGCACATTCCGCGCCGGGCAATTCTGTCAACTGCGTCGTTCCGACTCTTCCAAGACATCTGCGCCCGGTCGGGGGGCCTGGGGGTTCCACGACATGAGCTTTGACTTCGCGGGCATCCTGCCAATCGGCGGAGGCAGAAATACGCGGTGCCTTCATAGCTGCGATTGGCGAAGAACGGACGGTCCGGGGAAACGCGCGCGCCCCGGCGATCCCATTGCAACCCGCATAAACCGTGGAGGGCCTGTCCAAGCACTGAGCGGCAGCACGGCATCCAATGCGCTGCGCAGCCCGAGAAGTCCGAGGACACGCAGCGCGAACTACCCCAGACATTGGAGCGAGGGCCCCCCCTGGAAAACCCACTGCCGCCCCGCAAGGTGGCGAACAATGATCCCCTCAGCGCTGGGCTGGGGTAGCCAATCGCCGAGGTGGAATAACACGTGCCTGGGCAACATAATCATCACCGTCACTGCCCTCAGCTATCACTCGCAGAGCCTCTCGAGTGACAGCGACTGCACAAGTTTCCATGCGTAGATCATCGATGCGAGGGCATTGCCAGATCCGATGCAACTCTGCGCCAGGACAGCTCGGTCAAAGAAACCGAGGAGGTCGCAGGCGACGGCGCGGCCCCCGGCCACCGCGCGGCCCCGGGCCCAAGCACCAGAACACACGACCTGACGAATTCAGCCTCGCTCGGGCGGGGCGCGAGCAGATCCACGCATCTTCGAGGCCGCGGCACCGAAGCACACACGCACGCACAGCCCCCAAGCCCTCTCCCACCTGCCCTTTCGCGGGCCCTCGCCACCCCATCAGAAGAAAGGGGGGGGGCCCACCCGCCCCCGAAACGCGAGGCCAACGCCGTCCGATCTGGCGACGGAACGCGCCCATTCCGCGCGGGAGCCCGGCCAGTCGCAGATCGACGCGCTTCCGCCGGGCAGGGGGAGAAAGAGAGAAAGAGAGAGAGAGAGAGAGAGGGACAGAGAGAGAGAGAGGGTACCAACAAAAAACAAACAAGTTCTGCGGCAATTCACCAGACCCCCCGCGCCATCTTGCCCGATCCTGCGATTCGACGACAGCCGACCCAAGAGAAATCTAACCGACTAACCGACGCCAAATCCTATAGGCCCTTCAGGGCGTCAACGGTTTGGGTACATTCCTCTTGGCCTCGGCGAGAAAACAACAATCATTGATTTGACTACGGTTTTTGGCCAACGTTGGCCGACTGGATTGGAGGCCCCGATTGCCCCCCCCCCGCGTGATCGACCACTTCCAAGATGCCCCCCAAGATGGCCCCCGAGGCCCCAAAAGGGCGCCCCAACAGGGCCCCAAGATGCGCCAGGGGGCCCCCGAGATAACGTCCAAATGCCCCCAGGAGGTTCCCAAGCGACATCCAAGAGGAGAGGCTCCAAAAGGCCCCCCCGAGACACCGGAGACGCTTCAAGAGGCCCCAGGGCCGCCGAGAGGCCCCCGAGACGCCCGAACAGGCCTACGCGAAGCTCTCCAGAGACCCCGATAAACATCCAAGAAACCTCTGGCCATTTCTGTTCGCCCGCGCGCGCGCCTCCGAGGTCGCCCTGGCCCCTCCGCGCGAGGGCAGCCGGCCCCCCTCGTCTGGGAGCTGGCGGCGAGTGCCATGCACACAGGCCTGGCGGCAATCATTACATGGAAAGCTTCTGGAAGGTTTCCGCCCCCCTCTGCGGGGGCCTTGCAGGGAAAAATGAATACTTCTGGCTGCTCATATTGTCCAGGCCCCGCATCGGGGGCACCGGGAGTTCAACTGCCTCACGAAAGAGGAGCGGCTGAAATGACGCCTGGATCGAAGGCCTCGGAGATGCAGGGGGGTCTCATACCACCTGGAGGTCCCTCTAAGGGCGCCGCCTGTCTTGTCGCAAACGCCGCAGGCAACTCGGAAAACATAGCGGCAGAGAGCACGGCGGAGGCCGTTGGACTGCGGGGCTGCTACAGTGGCCTTCGTGCGCTGGAACGTGATATCCCCATCTCGCACTAAGCCTAGGTCCCCGTGTTCTCCCATGAACATACTTCGATCGCTGCTAGTCGATCCCGGGTGCGTTCGGCGACGATATCGGCGCCCTCGACGTGTCCAACGAGCCAGTTCGAAACTCTGCACCACTGGGTTGCTTCTGAAGGAAATTTCCCTGCATGGCCATTAAGGCGGCTGGCCCATGGGAGTCCACGAGCTACCTCATCGCCTGACGGGTGGCCCTTTACTCTGCGAGAAATGATGGCCCGTCTCCGAGACGCTGCAAACTCCAAAGATTGCGATGCGTCTGCGGGTTCCTAGAGCGGCGGCACTGAGGGCCCCGAGCGAAGCCCTTGATCACGCGCGCACAATCAGCGACGATAAGGAGCTGGCCCCGGGCGGACTGGGGCAAGGCGACGACTGCCTCGAGCGCTGCCAACTGGGCCGTCTGGGCGCCGACGGCGCCCCCCTAGATGGCCCCTTGTTCCGCCCTGAATCTTGCGCCCAAAAAGAGACGATCCAACAAGACTCTGACGCGCGAGCCCCGACGGTCGCCATCGCTGCCGTCGGTGGCCGCCACGGGCCAATCGCTGAAAGCGAAGACGGGGCCTGCTCAGAAATCCCCTTAAGAACTGCATCTGGCCTCGCACTGATGACGCGGGACAGAGCTCGACGGACGAAGGCGGCAGGGGTGGCGCCTCGAAGCCACGAGATGGCGTTCGCCGGCGACTCTGCTGCCGCTCGGCCAACGGAGGCCTGCGCGCGCGCCGCATCTGGCTGAGAGGTTCGGAGCGGGGGGGCAGGGCATTTCCAAAACGCGCGCAGGCTATCCGCCAGTGGCTGTCCGCAAAGAAGACACTCCGAACCGCCCTGCCGGCCTGATCCCAGCATGCTCGGCATGGGGGGGGGGGCTTCTCAGCGAGCTCGCGCCCCGTCTCTCCGATGGCGCCTCGCTTCCAAGCTTCGCGGAGTCTGGCGGAGCAGACGTCGCCCTCGCCCGCAGCCCCACCGAGCAATAGCCGCGCGGTGCAGTTGATCTCCGAACACGCGAGGCCAGAAGGCGCTACATATATGAAAACAACGTCACTTGCTGGCCCCAACTCAGCGGCTCGACGGGGAACCATCGGCCCCGCGGGCCCCACCCCCCCCAGAGCCAAGCGGAAAGCGAGGCTCAGCTTGCGTCGTAGAAGGCAGCGATCACCGCGGACAAGAGGTAACTAACCACGAGCCACCTGGACGGCCCCCAGAGTTTGACCTCCAAGAACTCCCACGACTTCTGGATGCCTCCCTGGAGCGCGAGCTCCGAATTGATACCCTAAACCGCATCTCGAAAAACCGGTCTCTGCGGTAGATCCCTGGATCGACTTCCGATGGGGCCCAGGGCCGGGCGTGGGGGCTGCTTCCTTCGTTCGAGGCGGGCCCCCGCCGCTGGAACTCCCAGGGCCGCGCCCGCGAGCCCGCGGAAATAATGCACTTCAGTCGGCGCTGCGCCGTGGCCCCCCGCCCCCCGCAATGACTGCGGGCGCGCGCCCGCGTGGAAGGTTGCTCGCGCCTCAGTCGTAGTCCTGGCCGAGCTCTCGATGTCCGCGCGACGTTGGACTCCGCGTGAGCGACGAACTCTGCGGCCCCCCAGGGACCCGGCATCCCCGATCGTCGCGTTGGCCCCCAGGTCGAGATTCCCAGACGGGTCTGACGGCGGCATCACGCTGGCGGATGGTCTCGACGGCCGAGTTCCGACTCTCGCTGAAGCTGGCTTAAAGACAGCGGGCATATCTGAAAGAAGGCAGCCGAAATCAAACATTCCCCCGCGAAACTTTTTTACGCTGCATGCAGGAAGGCCCGGGCCCCAGAAACGCTCTGCCCGCGCACCCAGAGGGCCGGCGCCATTTGGGCGAGGGGCCCATGGAGCCCCATGGGCGTCGCGAGGGACTTGGCGCACGCGCGCATCATCGCACCCGGTGTTTCGGGGCCACGGGGCATGGAAGGCCGGCGCATGCTCGGGCAGCTCGCGCCAGTGGGCGCCGTTCGAAGCGTCGAGCGCCCTCGACGATGGAGTACCTGAGCGAGTCACTCACCTCTGCGAGCAGTTCGCTGGTCGGACAGCCGCGCCCCAGGGCGCTACCCACGCTTCTCCCTAGGATGAGATCTGACCTCTGAGACGGCGCATGATGACGAGATGCGGGGCGTCGGCGGGGGCGATGGGGCGGTCGCAATCTTGTGTCTTCGGTTTCAACGCCGCGAGCTTGATGATGAATTAAATTTGGCTGGGCACTGCGGCAGCCTGCATGCTCCGTTGACGCTGCCTGCGAGGATCGGCCATCCTTCTGGCGGGGGCCGACGGGGATCTGCCGCGCTCAGTCGGTCTGCTCCCAGGACAGAGTTCCCCGAGAAACTCCAAACTGCCTTCTGGACTTGTCCTATCTTCCATTCCTGCGAGGGGCCCCGAGATGTCATTGCGCGCTCTCGTAGATCATGAAACCACGGGGCATCGAGGGGCTTGGCGGGGGGGATCTCACCTGGCCCCAGACTGCACCAACGACTCGATTTTGTGGTTGGACGCCATCAGGGGGTCTGCAATAATTTCCCCGCCCGCCGAGGTAGACGGGTCGCCGCCCTCCCAGGGGGCGGGCAACGGGGCCTCAGCGACGCGGCGGGCGCCGCCCGTGGGCGAGGGAATCCTGGAGCCAGGCCCAGAAAGTTACATCTGGCACCGCCAGCTCACACCTATCGAAATGCCAACAAATCAGCTCGAGCTGGAGCTCAGCGTCGGCGCGCCAGCATGCTGGGCGCGCCCCTGCCAAGCCAGACTGCGCAAGGTCCAACAAGACTGGCAAAATCTCCTGCGGCTGCGTTGGATTGGCCTGCTGCGAGACGGAGGCGAGGCTGTCCTGGAGCCCCCGAATGCCTCTGAACCCTGGAAGGCGCCGGCAAGGGTGATCGCGTTCCTGGGCGCGCTGCTGGACCACAACCGACCGACGGCTTCCATGATGGAGCCGATGCTGGAATGAGGGTGGGAGGTGCGATCTCTTTCCAAATGACCTCGCAACCACCCCTCCGACAGCAAGTATCTCGGGGTCCCGCTGGGGCCCCAATACACCGCCCGTCAGGGACCGATTCGGGAGGCCGCGCTGGTGGGCATGGGTGGAGTTGGCGAACCCATCTGCGATCGGATGCTGCAACTGTGGCGGCTGGCGCTGGTCTAGACGCGCCCGGGAAAAAATCCAAGCATGCGCCCGCGAATTGGCTGGGGCGCGCAGACGCTCGACTGAGGGCGGCCGTCGAAAGAACCGGCCTTCGCGATGGGGCGCTGCAGCGCGGGAAAAGAAGACGTCGAATCCTAGATGCGGCTTTCAAGGTCCTGCGAGGACACTCTCGACAGAGAGCAGTCCTGCGAGGACACTCTCGACGTGGATGGTGAAGTAATCAACGTGACGCCGGTTGCTACAGTCTCAAAATCGGCCGATTCGACGATCCCCGAGATCTTCTTTGCCCAAGGATGGCCTGCAATGAACTCCTGATGGGCCACGTGGGAATCCCCAGAGATGATGAACGGGAGCCCCAGGCAAGTGAGGAGGATGATGACGTCCTTCACGACTGTGGCACTGAAACTGCTGTAGCCGACCCCCGACTGAAAGCAAAACGCGAGACGAAGAATGTCGCGAGACTTCGTGCCGAGTAGGCAGGCCGTCCACAGGGCGGAGTAGGCAGGCCGTTTAACTCAATTGGCATCTCCTACCACAAGCGTCTTGTTACTTGTCCGACCATTATTACTCGCGTCTGCGTGCGAAACTGCGTGGTCACGAAAAGCTTTGGACCACCAGAAGTGCAGTGCCTCGTCCTGCGGCGGGTGGCAGGGTCTTGATTACTGTTGTAGCAACACGCGTACAGATGTACCCCATCACTCCTGAAACCAGGCGCGCCTCACCGAGCACTATGATCTCAGGAAGGCCAGTAAGCAACGCTCTATATATAGCGCTTGGCCTTATTCTTCCAATTCGTTGTAGGTGTGAAGCTCTGTCACAGGCTCAGGAAGATTCCGCCTGTGTGGCGAAGTTCCTGATCCATGCCGCGACTCACCTCCTTTCTCTTGGACAACTGCGGCTGCGCCTCCCTGCAGGCTTTCGCCCGCTGGTGGCTGCCGTGCCTGCAAGTCCTGCGCGTTCACCGGGTGGGTCGTCGTCACCCTTTGGCTTCAAAACCTTCACCTGTTTGACCTTGAGCTTCCTGGCGGGCGGGAGCTTAGCAGCTGCGGCGGGGAGCTTGGCGATGAAGTCATTCGCCTCGGTGCCGTGCTCCCCTCGCACCTCCAGGCGCTTCAGGTTCGTGGGCGTCTCGGGCATGTAGGGCAACTCGCTATCCTCCTCGTCGGGCTCGCCCTCTCCCATAGCAACAGGGCTGTCTTTGCCGCCGTTCGCCCATTTGTTTGTGGCATCGTTGCTGGCGTCCTCAAAGGTGGCCCGTGACTGCTGGAGCTCGGCGGTGGTCTCTTTGAGCTCACGTTGCGCTGCGGCGAGCTCCTCCTCCAGGCGATCCACGTTGGAGGCCAGGTCGAGCTGCTTGTCGAGCTGGCGGACCTTCTGCAGAGCCGTGAATGAGACTTTGAGATTGGTGCTGGGGGCCCTCCCACCCGAGCAGAAGGCCAAGATAGGAGACAATGCCATCCAGAAAGCTCGAGGAAGCCACAACCACGACCTAAAAGAACCCGGCCGTCTAGGTCGTCTAGATCGAGTTTCCAGAAGTTGCCCTTGGACTTGTCATGATCTTCCTGACTGGCATGGCTGGCCGGGTGCCCACCTGGGATGTCGGAGGCCTTGCCGCAGAAGCAGAAGACCCTGTCCTTGGCTAGGTTGGTGCACTGCCGCTCCGTGCATGCGCTACACACCACGTAAGACATCGTCTTGGGCTGGGTGTGCTGCTGCGCCTGGTACGCCCACCAGCCCATGTTGCTGGATGGTTTGGTGTGCGCGTGAAGTGGCCGCAGGCGCGCTGCCCCAAACGGCCTGAGCCGACCGCATCGGAGGGTCCAAAGCTCATCGCTGGCTCCCAGGCGTCGATAGATATTCGCAGTGTTTAGCTTCGAGCCAAAATGGCTACGAAGACCTTTTCTGTTCGCCCTCCTCCTCTTCCTCTTCCTCATCCACTTGCAATGCAATCCTCCTCCCTCTTCCCTCATCCCTCCTCGCTCCTCCTCCTCCCCTCCTCCAACTTCTCGCAATCGGATGCCTCCTCTATCCTCCCCCTGTCAAAGTATGACGGCTCCCCAGCCTATATTTCACTGCGTGCTCCCCCACATGCCCGACCTGTGCAATTCGCCCAGGTGTCGCTTTTGGATGGGCTGGTGGGGTGACGCGAAGCGTCCAAGACTGACGCGAATCGGCGCTAAATCGGCGCTTGCCCATCGACTCCCAGACGCCAGCGCGCGCTAGCGCACTGCAAAGCCAGAACTGCGAGGGCATGCAAGGGTTCCGCTGAGTTGCAACAGTCATCGTGCTACCATCAGGGACGTTGACAGCGAAGGGGCCCAAGGGCACACAAAAAATACACACAAATAACAGGATTCCTCGTATGCTTCCATATGTTTGGGATTGTCGTCTTCCCTCCCCCCCCACTTCCCATATTTTCCCATATGTTCTGAGAATCGACAGTTGATTCTGCCTGTGAGACAGGAGCGAAGGGGCGCTTCTGGCCACAGCGAGCCTCGGCCACGAGTGGGCTCCTCGACCTGCACCTCCAAGGCCGGGCCCTAACACACCAGCGCCCCTCCTGAAGCCAGAGTGGCTCCTACCTCAGCGTCTTGACAATACAGCCGGGCCTAGGATTAGCTCGGGTGTGTCCCCCTACACGCGGCTTTTGGGCGAAAAATAAAAACACCCGCAAAATACTCCCAAATTGTCAAAAGTAGTCAAAGGTAGTCAAAAAAATCGTCCCCAGGCTACGTATTTGTTTACTATTTTTGGATATTTTTCCTGCAGAGGGACAAGCCCGACTTCAGCCTAGTACAGGAGAACATCCTTCAAGAACATGAGACACTCCGCCGGCCAGAACACCCCAGACCATCGGATCACTCGAGGGTACCATCCCGCAGGATGCACAGAAACATCCAACGAACACGAAGAACATTAGGATATCCTCCCCGAACCTCGGCGGCGAGCGAGGGGGTGAAGTGAGAAGGGGCGGGCGCTCTCAGGAGGCTCGGAAGTCCCCCGGCCTCCTGAGAAGATTTCTGAGCCTCCCCCGAAGACACAGGCAACTTCTCAGAAGGCGCGAGGGCTTCTGAGCAGTCCGACTGCCTTCTAGGAAGGCCTCCTCCCCCTCGCTTCCCCCCCTCGCTCGCCGCCGAGGACCGACCCCGATCCTATACCTCGGTCCGACCGCATCCGAGGCGCGGCACGCCTGTCTCTCCGCCGCGGCCGCCCCCACCTGAGGCACAACGGCGGCGGCGCCGTCGGCGACCCCCGCGGCCTCGCTGGGCGCCGCAGCCGAGCCGTCGGCGCCGCTCGCGACCTCGCCGCGGCTACTGCGGCACGACGACGACGACGACGACGACGACGACGACGACGACGACGACGCCGCCTTCGCCTTCGCCGCCTTCGCCGCCGACGCCGACGCCGACGCCAATGCCACGCCGCCGCTTGTCGAGACCGATGGGGCCTTCGGAGGCCATCGGAGGGCCTTCGGTGCCTCCCGCCGGTGAGTGGCCACCGTCGTCGCCGTGGTCGTCGTCGACGGGGGCGCGTCGTCGCTGGGGTGGAGTCTGGTCGCCACGGCTGGGCGCAGCACGGGAAGCTGGCTCAGTCTGGACGCCGACTGCGACGACGACGACGAGGAACAGGATACGAACAAGGACAGGCGCGACACCGACACCACCAAGGCGCAGAGGTGCGAGGAGCAAGGGGGGTCTCCCTGGTGTTGCGCTCCCCCCCCCCTTCTCGCTCGAGGCTTCCCCAGCCTCCAGCTCGGGGAGGCATCGAGGATGCCTCCTCTCTGGAGGTGGGCCCCCTCTGGCGGTGTCGGTGTGGCTTCTCCCTCCCTCCGACGGGAGGGCGACGTGTGTGTGTTGACGTCACTGCAGGGTGCCGCGGGGTCCAGGGGCCGCGCACTGACAAGTCACGGCGTCGGAACTCCGGGCTCCTCGTCCCTGCGGGAGATGGGGGGGGGCAGGGGGGCGAGGGAGGAGGGTCCGGGACGCCTGAAAGGAGGGGGAGGGGTCGTGAGATCACTGCCTGTCACCATCATCCTCATCACGACCTTCGTTTTTTTCATGATCCTCCTGGTCATCCCCCCTTCCATCCTCCTCCTCCTCCTCCTCCTCCTCCTCCACCGTCTTATTCCGCTTTCTCCCTTGCCTTATCTCTCATCCTCTGAGTCCTGCTCGTCGCCTGTCCTTCTCCTCCTGTTTGCCCTTCCCATCCTCCTACTTGTCCCCTTCTTTCTTTTTCTCCCCGCCTCCTCGTCCTCTTCGCCGTCCTCCTTCTCCAACTCCTGCTCCCACTCCTCCTCCCTCTCCACCATCTTCCTCGTCAGCCTGGTCTTGTCCTTTCGTCGCCCCCCTCCGCCACCCCTTCTCCTTCTCTCCTACTAATCCATACCTCTCATCGATACCTCTCCTTCATCCTCCCCACCCTCCGCCTCCTCCTTGTCGTCCCCCTCCTCCTGGTCCTCCAATTCCCCCCCTGACCTCCTGAGAACCCTCCATATCAGTGGCCCTCGTGCCTCGGCGCGCACGTCCTCGTCGCCAACGACAACGACGAACGAGTCCCAGTCGAACTCAATGAGGCCGGAGGCCACAGCCTCGCTCGGCGCCTCCTCGGGCTCGCTGCTCCCTGCCTTCTCCTCGAGCTCGCCGGGCGCCTTCCCGATGTCCCCCCCCCTCCTCACCCCACCCGCCTCGAGAAGAGACGGGCAGGGGGAAAGGCTGAAAGAGAAAGCGGGAGAAAGGGTGAAGGAGAGAGAAGGGGAAAAGGCACCCACCCCAGCGACATCCGGGGGCATCCACGTGGCTTCACAGCTCTCCCCACATGCAAATCACGACACTCGACCCCAAGATGCTCGAATATGGGCCGAAGGATGGCAGTAAATCGATCAAGATTGCAACACATGTGAATATGAAGCCCAAAATACACAAACTTTACCGAATGGGCCGCTCAAAAACCTTGTGCTTCTCCGCGAAGTGCACTGCTCGGCGGCCGAGCAATGTCCATCCTGGGTTCCACGTCCCAGACCGCAACACGTCGGATCATCATTGACGCAATGGCGCACATCCATCCAGCTGCTCTTAAGAATGCTCTGAGCATGCCGCAGGACGACTGGCGCAGTCGGCGCGCGCACACCAGAGGGCTGCTTCCCCACCGCCATGCCTGCCTCACTGACGTGGCTTCGGGCGTTCGTCAACGGCGGGGGGGTGAAGAAACGTGCACATTGACAGAACTTTCCTGCCATCCTCGATCCCCCCCCCTCGTGTACTATCCTCCCGCGACCTAACGTACACTGGTTTGGGTTCACGCCCAAACCGGTCTGACACTTCGCGGCAACGCAGTCGCGGCAACGGGCATCCACCGAGGGGCAACAATGGGGCTCATCCCTATCCTCCTCCGCTTGATCATCCTTCTCTTCCTCCTCCTCAAACTTCGGGCGACAGGCCTTGGCAGTTCTGAGATGGTGTCGCAGCTTCCTGCGAGGTTCTGGGGCGTCCTCCTCCTCCTCCTCCTCCTCCTCCTCCTCCTCCTCCTCTTCGCCCTTCCCCTCCTCCATTTCCGCACTCCCCCTCCTCCTTCTCCTCCACCTGATCCTCCTCCTCCACCTCCTCCTCCTTTTCCTCCTCCATTTCCTCCTCCTCCTCCTCCTCCTCCCCCTCCTCCTCCTCCTCCTGTTGCTCCTCCTTTTCCTCCTCCTCCTCCTCCTCCTCCTTCTCCTCCTCCTCCTCCTCCTGTTTCATGCTCCTCCTGCTTCATGCTCCTCCCCACTGGGGGGCCAAACCACGAGGCTTCCGGCGGCGGAGGCCCAGGAAAACCCAAAACAGCAGTAACGAAGGCAATCGACAACCCCATCCTCGACCAGAGCTGAACCTAAACGGTGCTTCTCGTGATCGTGTCGTTTTCGTTTGCCCTCGCTTTGTCTTCGGATCGCCTCTACCGCAAAACAAAATCGAAACGCAAACGGCCCACGAAAACGCCAACACCCCTTTCAGGTCCAGCCCTGTCCTCGACCTTCGACGGCTCCTCCAGGGCCCCCGTAGCCCGCGGCATCTGCCTGCGGGCCTGCACCTCCCCACAAGGGGCCCCCGCCCGCCCGCCCACCTCCCCCCCCCTGCGGGCCCCAAGAGTAGACACCACCGCCGCGTCGATGCCTCCTCCCTCCTCCACCCTCGTCTTCCTCCCATCTCCTGGGAGAGGGCAGGGATGACTCGCCATCGCTCGGACGTACATTCCCCGTGCATTGTTCGGTCTCGTGCGTGCATTATTCGCTGGATGGCCAGAGATGCTTCTCGACGGTCCTCGCCGAGAGAAAATGCACACGTCCGAGCGATGCCAGAATGAGGGAGGTGGTGGTGGTGGTGTATACCTTTGAGCCCCGTACCCCCCCCCCCCACGTCGGGGCCTTCTGCGGCAAGTTGGGCACAAACTCCTGCGCCCCGGGGTTCAGCGTGCCGAGCTCCTGCGCCCGCCACCCGTGGCGGGAGGGAGGAGGGCGCGGGTGGAGGGAGGCAGGGAGCCCCGGAGGAGGGGCACCAGGAGACCCCTGGAGGGAGGATGGGGAAAGGGAGGAGATCGCTGAGGAGGAGGGACAGACTAGGCTCATCAGACACACACACACACACACACACACACGCACGCACGCACGCACGCACGTACGCACGCACACACACACACACACACACACACACACACACACACACAACACAACACAACACAACACAACACAACACAACACAACACAACACAACACAACACAACACAACACAACACAACACAACACACACACACACACACACCACTAACGCTGCGTCCCCGAGCCCTCTCCTCATGATGCAGTGCGCGGGCCCCCATTATTCACTCACCCTCGGCGCGGGCCCACTGTAAAGGCGGGGGCAAATTCGGGACCCGTGATGGCTGGAGCGTGTCGCTCGTATTGTCCTTTGGGGCGACAAGAAGCTGGACACGCTGAAACAACCAGAATCTGATGGCCCCGGCCAATGAGATGGGAGGGATGGAATGGTGAGATGCTCCCGCATCACTTCACCGTCCGTGGTCTCTACGATTCTCATGCCAGAACCACGCGCGCTCGTCGCGCGTGCGCTTAGATCGTGCGCAAGGTCGTGTCGGAAAGCATCGGTGTCATGCCACGATGGCGCGTGGAATCGACGCCAACCTGCGCTGGCCGTGCGTGATAGCGGGTCGGTTCGTTTCAGTTCTTGCCTTTTTTCGACCCCCAGCATTCTTCAAAAGAGGTAACGTTACAGTGGTCTCAGCTCAGGATTTGGACGCCCGAAATGGGTACGGAAAGAATGGGTACAATGGCCTTCTGCCTCGAATGGACACGGGCCGCGGCGGCGTGGAGCGCGAACCTGGCTCGAAAAGAACAGGCTCCGCGGTTGGGTATTGCACCCATTCTTTCCGTACCCACTTCGGGCGCCCAGAAAGGAAAGGAAACACCAACCGGGAACCGGCGACGCATCGCCGACAAACATTGCGATACCCCCGACCGCGAAGCCCAACGCTCACGCGCGGGGCGGGCCATCGGGCCCCTCTTTATCGACGACGAGGGGGCGATTGCGGGCCGATGCGTCCCCCACCCCACGGACCCTACAACATCCTCTAACGTTGCCCCTGGCACTCTCTCTCTCTCTCTCTCTCTCTATCTATGTATGTGTGTTTGCCCTCTCTCTCTATCTCTTGCTCTCTCTTTCTCATTCTCACTACCTGTCTCTCTCTCTCTCTTTCTCTCTGCTTCTTGCTCGCTGCATTGCCCGACCGCTCTCGCTTGTCGATATCTGATTTGCTCTCGCCAGCCTCCTGTGGCAGCGCATATCCACCACACGTTTGCTTCCTCCATGATATTTCCACAATCTTCGTGTAACAATAAGGAACGCTAGATAAGGAACGTCAGGAATTTTTGACCACGGCGAACCTCCGCCACAAAGAGGTTCCCCGATAGAGGTCGAAGTAAATGCCTAATCCCAGAGACCCTCTTGTGCCCAATGCAAACCTTCTGTTAGCGTCTTGACTGCAGCTCCCAATGATTGTACTATGCCAATATCTCTCTCTCCCGCCCTTAATCATTGCCCTCGTCTGCCTTTCCCTGTCGCTATCACTCTGTGTCTGTGAATCCCTTGTGCTCCGCAGCCCTTGCGCAGAACAACTGCAAAGCGTGGAACCTGGAACCCCCATCAAAGTGGCAGCGGCCAGGGTTAGAAGAACCTGCTGAGGCTGGGGCTGACACAAGCCATAGTAGATGTTGGAAAAATTTGCAGGGGCTGAGACAAGCCAGCCCCAGAATCTGAAGGAGGACGCCAGGGCGGAAAACTGGAAAAGTACCAGGCTCGGTGGGCGCACGCACAGAGTCCTCGACGGGCGCTCCCACGACGCGACGGCCATGGTCGCGCTGGTCCCCAATCGGACCTCCAACTGAAGGGTTTGTCGCACTTTTCTGCATTTTGGAAATGAGACAGCAGTAACGTTGCGACCAGCCGCGGTGGTTTGCCCGAGACATTCCTTGTTCGTATTCATCGTCATCATCATGGTTACAGCATTATCATTACTCGTCTTCTTATTTCATCCTCGCATTCCTTCTGCAGTTCTCTGTGCGTGCACGTTTGCGCGCGCGTGCGTCTGACAACTGCGTTACCTGGGTCCTGCAATATCTGCTGCGTGCACATCAGGAGGGGAAAGGGCGGCTCCCGATAATGGTCGGATTGACGACGACGATGAAAAAGACTGCATGTTTCGTCGCGCGCGCCCCCATCTCTGCGCGTCTCTTTTGGGCTTCTGGCAATCGAGATGCGAGCGTCGGCTTCGCAAATGCTCTTTTTGCCGAAGGAATCCATGGTCTCGCGGCCAGCAGCCGGTCATGTCCGCGTTGGCGCAGCCTGTGCTCGCCTTCACGGGGTGCTGGGTCTTGGCCGCGTAACCCACCAGGGCGAGCAT